TTAAAAAAAAAAAAAACCTCAAATATCCAAAACCTTATTTAGAAAGTAAAGGAAAAACTTTCATATCTAGAAAACTAGTTGGCCTTAATCTAGAAAAGGTATACCAATTTAGCACTTGTCAAACTTAATGTATTAATTTTCCCAAAAGAGGAATAAAAGCTGGATTATTTACCCTTATCACGGGCTAGATGTGAGTCGGTCATTGGCAGGATATGTACGAACCAAGTTTTTGTCCACAAAAACTTTGGACGAAAATTAAGTGAGCAAACGAATTCTAATTGAGTTGAAATTTTGTGGGTACAACTGTCTTGACTAGACAAATTCAATGATAGATCCATCAACTGAAGCTTAAGCCGCATAACACACGAACGAAACTAGAAAAATAAAAATAAAATTTTATCTTACCCTCATGATTAGTTACCTTATTTGTGTGTTTTTTTTTTCCAAATTGATGTTATTAAGTTTGACATGCATAAAATTGATTATTTTTTACATACTTGGTGCAACAAAATTAAAAATTTGCCCCACCATATGATGCTACTACAATCGTACCAATGCATAGCTCTACCTAGCCATAAAATTCTCCCCTAATTTATTAAGAAATCAACAAGGAGATTGAGTAAACAATGAATTAGACTCACTAATTCCATTCTAAAATAAAGCAAGATGATAAACCCGTCATTGTAGTCGTAGACAAGGATAATAAATAAAAAATAAGACACACAAATCATGCACGTGAGAGGACACTATAGATGTTGTGCCCTTCTGCATAAAAAAAAGGTTTGTGAAAAAGGAAAAAAACTTTCCCCTCTCTCTCCCTTCTCTCTCTCTAACAGACAATAAAAATGATTGAACCCTTTATAATCCTGCAAGTCAATAGTGTTGGGGCACTCAAATCTCTGATATAAAGACCATAGCAACATTAGAAATTTTGTCAATTTAACTTTTGGACCCCCCAAAAAAATAAAGGAAAAAAAATCAAGAAATAGAGAGAGAAAGCTAGCCACCTAGAGAGAGAAAAATCAGCCATGGCGGCCCTTGAAGCTCTTTCCACAAACGAGCTCCTAAACTTCATTATGTGTGATTCGAACATCTCCCCGCCGTTCGACGGCGGGCCCCTCGAGACCGGCCTCTCTTCCGTGGCCCCGCCGCCGGTCCTCCACCCGCCGGAAACCGCCGCTCCGGCGGCGGCACAGCCTCCGGCCGGCCGGAAGAAGCGGCGGAGGCGGCCGAAGGTGTGCAAGAACAAGGAGGAGGCCGAGACTCAGAGGATGACGCACATTGCCGTCGAGAGGAACCGCCGGAAGCAGATGAACGAGCACCTCGCCGTACTCCGCTCCCTCATGCCGGAATCTTATGTCCAGAGGGTATAGCACTGCCACTGTTATTACTTTTTAGATTTTAATAATTGATTTTNAAAAAATCTGCATCTTTAGGTGGAAATTAAAAATTAATTAATTGAAAAGTGGGTCTAGAATAGTAATAATCCCCCCAAAAGTTATCTGAAGGTGTGTGTGATAATTATTATGTGCATATCTTTGGATGTTAACCTTGTACAAAGAGCCTCTCTTTTCATAGATTCACCTTTTGACATTATTGAAAAACTTTTTCTTCTGTTTTTAATATTTAATCATTGCTTCTATAACAACACAAATTCCATTCCACTTCACAATTCATACAAAATATGACTCAAATTGACAACAATAAAGAAAAAAAGGTTGAAATTTTTCATATGTGCTAACTAAAATTGATTCAAAAACTGTTCAAATCTTACATTCAAACCTCTCTCCATTTGTTAACATGTATTTAACTATTTATTGCATAAAGCCAAGCATGTATTGACAAAAAATTAACATGCTATATATTATAAATTCGATTGATATATACTGTATCAAGAAACGATTCATGGCCTATATATTTCATGTACTACAGAGAACAGAATATAATGACGTAATACTTTAATTTACTTTCCCGTGTCTTGTTATTGTCTCTGCACAACCAGAAATTTGATTCTCATATTTATCACCCGCTAGAAGATTGCATGTACCCTACACCAAATCAAATGAACCAAAATAATAATAAAAATAATTCCATTTTTTCCGATTTTCAATTAATAGTAATTTAATAAATTATCATCAGGGCGACCAGGCGTCGATAGTTGGTGGGGCCATCGAGTTCGTGAAGGAGCTCGAGCACATCCTTCAGTCTCTAGAGGCCAAGAAGTTTGCTCTATTGGATGGGCCGAAAAATGGGCCCGACCCAGACAGAAGGCCCATTTCAGGAAGCCCATTCGCGCAATTCTTTGCATACCCGCAGTTTAGGTGCTCTGATATCAACAACAACAGCAACCAGCTCGGGAGCAAGTTCACGTGCCAGACGAAAGCTGCCGTGGCTGATATTGAGGTCACGTTAATCGAGACCCATGCCAACATTCGTATACTATCGAGGCGTGGGGCCCGCCACCTGTCGAGGCTCGTGGCAGCTTTTCATTCGCTCCTCCTCACGATACTCCACCTCAACGTGACCACGTTGGATTCGCTCGTGCTTTACTCGGTTAGCGCCAAGGTACGTATATACATACGAACGAATGAATGATTGTTACGCGTCTAATAACGTTAGACGGATCGATTTATCTATATGATAGAATCATGAAAAATGGTAATTTTTTCTCAAGGTACCTNAAATCCTACAGTGTTACAATAGAAATTTTAACAGATATTTCAACGGTATAGCTTTCGTCAGAATTATTCTAACGAAAATATTAATGAGTTTTCCATTGAAATTTTAGATGAAATTCAATGATTCTAACGGTTTTTTTACCGTTGGAATTTTTGTTGAAATCTTTATTTTCATCCGTATTTCAACCGTTAAAAAATCTAATTTGAAATTCATTGCAACGGAATATTTTCGTTGGAACCTATTGAAAAATTCCAGCGAAACTAATAGCATTGGATGTCGTTTCTATTCCATTAAATTATATTTCTGTTAGGAATTTTTCGTTGGAGTTTCATCATTTTCTTGTAGTATTGGTCCTAAAAAAAATAATAGTACCATAAAATATGATATTTTATGGTATAAGTATGTATTTCTGATAACATAGTATGATGAATCGATCTAATTAATAGTTAAACCGTACCATACAAGAATATTTGTGTAAGAAAAAAATAAATTAAAAATTTTTATTAATCTTTGTTCTTTTCTTTCTTCTGTTGTATGGCTGAGGGGTATATCTGATGGTAACAAAAAATGGGACTGTGGAAAATGACTTCACCATGCAAAAGAATCTACTTTAATTTTTTTTTTACCCACACCACAGACTGCTGCACGTTCTTCTAAAACAAACTAAGTACTGTGTCAAGATTCTAAAACAGTAATTAGTACTCATTTCAAGAGGGTATTTTGGGTATGATCTGTACAAATAATTTTCAATTTTAGTTTCCATGTGCATTGATGGCAGGAATTAAAAAGGGAATTTTTATGCTTAATACTTTAAATGGGTATTTTTGGGGTGTTGGGCACCTAGTGTTTGTCTTGGGTATAAATTTCTTGTGGAAAAATATTCCCAAGTATTTTTGGGAAATGTATTTTAATGTATTTTGATGTGTTTTTAATATTATTAATGGTAAATTGTGGCAGGTGGAAGAAGGCTGCCAGCTAAATTCAGCTGATGACATTGCAGGAGCAGTTCACCACATGCTTAGAATAATGGAGGAGGAGGATTTAGGGTTACATGTTTAGCATGTATTCGTAAAAATTGAGCTCATCAATCTTTTTTTTTTAATGTTAATTTATGTTTTTTTTCATTTACTTTAGTACTTTCACCCTTTCTTGTACTTACTATGATCTTGTTGAAAGAATAATTTTGCACGATCTCAACTCAACCCAACTCAAACTAATGAAAAATTATTTCTCTCTCCTCCACTTAAAGACGTAATGATTTGATAAAATTAATATTTCATATAATTAAAAAAATTACGAATTCTATTAAAATTGAAATTATAAAATTGAATAAAATATTAAAATTAATTAAAACGAGGTACAAAGAGTTGAAGTGAAATCACACATCAATAACCATACTAAATAGAGAAATTGAAGTTTTGTTCGAAAACCTATCAAATGTAGTCTCTACCTATATAGAATGAAAAAATACGAATTCTAATATTTTTTTTTTGTTAATGTAAATTAACCCCTAAAAATATAAATTATTTTTTATCTTATCGAAAAATACAATTATACAATAAAAATTGGACAAGTATCCCATGTCTCTCTCATCAACGGGTTGTGACTCAGGTCACATTGTGACCTGGGTCACATATTATTATTATTTGTTAGAATATCACTTGTGAGTTGTTTCATGGAAAATAGATCCACTTTATAAGTCTAATGGGCTACTCCTCATTCCACTAATTGGTTTTTGGATGGAACCTCACTTGGGCTTCATATGGGTTTTCTCTTGTCATAGTGCTCTTCATGATAATGGGTCCGCACCCATTTTCCTCAATTTCTTTCATTATTATTATTGTTATTATTATTTGTTATTTTGTTTGGGTCACCACTAAACATAAGCCTCATAAATACTGAACGGAACATGCCAAATAGTTACGAGTGTAAATGGTTAGTTAATATGTTAGGCTCGTCTTTAACCTAATAGTCATACTAGTGGACTTGATTATATAATATTCACTTGAAGGGCGGAAATATTTATAGCTTAGCAATGTGGATGTATTTTGTAGCAAAATTGGAATATTAAAAATGAAACATGTCACTATTTTTTTGGCAAGTTAATTGAGTTTTAGCCATTTTACCTCGGAGAAGACATTTTGCCCTTACAAACCAATAAGCACAAACACAATGTGAACAGGATTTATTCGGGGTCCACCGGCCACAAAGACCCTTTTCCTCTTCAATATAAAATTGTTGCTAGGATGTGACGATTAAACAATTATGTTATTTTAACAAATGTGTCTATTTTTAAATTAAAATATTATAATGTAAAAAAATGAAATAAACAAATGATAAGTGATTGCATATTATTCATAATTATATATATCACAATAAGTGACTGCATATTATTCAATCATGCATATATAATGGTCCAAACCTATGGCTATGAGGCTTTAGCTAGAAACGTTAGCTTCAATATTAGACCTGACGGGCACAAAACTGGAAGTGATTCTTTACATCCCCAAGCACATCTTGCTTTACTTTAGAGGCCATTCTTAGCCTGGTGGCAAGAGTACCAAGTACTATGGAGCCACAACATCATTGTGGCTGGACCAATTTGAAATTTTGTGGGACTTCAAATCATGTCTTGTTTCAACACTAGTGAAATTACTAAAATTTCGTAAGTTGTGTGAAGACGTTTTTGTCGTTTGTTTGTTTTTTCCTTTTATTTTATGAATTTTGCTGTAGAATCATGGATGTCACGGTTTATGAAATCGTGCAGACTATTAACTCATGATGTATTAATATGTGTTTTAAAATAAATACACGAAACAAATGTCAAATATAGGTGCCATTATGAGTTGACCAAGTATATGTCAGTGTTATAAAACGCGTATAGCATAACGCATCGCATTTTGATTCTTATAATTCACAGCACAGATAATATTGTGTGTTGCGTGAATTATTTGAAATAAAAATTTATCTTTATAGAAATGTTAAATGTATTTTCATATAATAAAATTGAATGGTCAATTCAAAAAATTATCATAATATTTATATTGAATTCCGAAAATAACATTTGAGAATTATTTGTGACAAATATTTAATGCATATACCTTAATATGTGTTTAAATAATGAAACGAATACGCTAAAAACAGGCTATTAAAATATAAAAACGTATGTCATAATTTAATTTTAAATTATGCGCATGTTAGTTAAAAGTTTTAAATTGAAACTCTAATTACATTATAACCACCAATTTTGTACTTTCATATCCTTTAATTTAAGTCCCAAATATCAAAATGTTAAATAATACAATAGAATTGGACTGATAATTATTGCACTGTTCAACTTAGAGTTTTGAATTTTCAAACTTTTAGTTTGAAATCAATATCAAGATCTATAATTTTTAATTGTCGTTTGAAAATATGACTCTAATCCTACAAAATACAAATTTTTAATCATTTTGTTATTTAAATACTTTTGTAGCAACATAGCGTCAAATAATGTAAAATAATGCAATATTGCATAAATAAATGTGTCACGTCAACATTCCACGTAAGCTTTTCGAGAAAAATGTTAAGTATCAGGCGTTTCATCGCATTTTATTATGACTATGTTTGGTAAAATTAACCGATAAGCTAATTGAAATAAAAATTTCAATAAGCTAAAAAACTCGTCCTACCAAACGAAACTTATAAGCTAACCAAATAAGGTACAAGTTAGCTTATTTAGTTACTAAACATAGCTTACATTGGTCAAAACACTAGTATGACTGTGTTTGGATTCCAACAGTAGATTTTTCAACGAAAATTCAACAAAGATATACCGTTTTAATGAGCTTTTCATTGAAATTCCCGTCAAATTTTGACGATTCCAACGGTAGATTTTTCAACGGTTGAAATATAGATGGAAATAAGAATACAAATAGAAATATTTGTATATTCTAAATGTAAAATGGTTGTTTGAATCATTAAATTACATCTAACACTCCAACGAAAAAACTCAATCCAAAAGAAACTATACCATTGGAATGTCCATTAAAATTTTAGTTGGAATATATAGACGTTGAATTTTCCGTTGAAATATGACAATTTTTTTTTGTAATGAAAACCAAATTAATCTCTCCATTTGATTTCTCTTATGATTTGAAATATATAAATACCCATGACATCTATAGAAATCAAAACATACAAGATGACCATTTATTGGGTTCGCCTCATTAATGGGTTCGCCTCATTAAAAATGTGGAGCGAAAAAACAAGAAGACGTTGAATTTATCCATGTACCATGTACGTGAAATTAAATTACGATGCAAGACATAAAAATATAGTGGATGAAGAACGAAAATCCTATATTTAATTACTATCACTTAATCATGTTGAAATTGTTCTAGAATAGCATATATATTAGTTTATTTTATCAATGTTAATAAGGTTGAGAAATTACATGGAATTCAAGTACTCTGTTCCAAATTTTCATGATGACGGTAATCTTATTTTAATAAATTAATGTACCATTCTCAATTTTTATGATTATGGATAATATTATTTTAAAATAATGTACTGTAAACACGTAACCAATAATGTATACAATAATTTTAATATTCACAGGATTTGGACTAATTATATAAATTAACTATAACAAATATAACCATGCCACCATGCCTATTAACTTTTTCCATGAACACCATCTCTATGGCTTGAGTTTTAGAGTCCTAGGATTCTTACCTGTGGTCTATTAGAATTTCTCAAGGGTTTAGGGTAATCACAACTTCACAAGATCAATTTCTTATTTCTTATGAATTGTTTTTAGAAAAATCAAATAAAATTGGAAGTCAAAAATTGGGTCTAATATCTTCAAGGAACTAGGTTTGTGGGATAAATGATTATTCTCTATCTTCGAAACCCTACCCCAAGTAGTCCCGTTTTAGGGTTTGGTCTCTCTTTTGAATCTTGAGTTCCTCGAGTAGGATGGGGGTTTTTAGGGTTCTTGAGTCGTTTTTCTAGTGTTTTCAATTGCGATTGTGTTCCCTGATCTCTATATTGTTCTTTTCTCTGCTTTGTTTCATGTTTTATTTTGTAACTTGCTCATCTTTGCTTTGTGTTATCTGTTTGCTTTGTTTTCCTTGTGCTTGCTCGATCCCTTTCAATTGCTACTACAGTGGTGTGGTACAGGTGATATAGGGTTTAGAAAGACTGCTCGATGGCTGACGAGGTGGCTGCAAAACTACAATGGTTTGTTCTTTCTGAGAAAGAGAAAATCGGGGTTGCACTATTGGATGAGGATGTTGCGATTGGGGTGCAAGATTGTCATTTGAGTCTGATAGGCAAAGTTTATGGAGAAAGGAAGGTAAACTTTAGAGGGTTAAAGGCTACACTGGGTAGTATCTGGGTTACAAAGTCACCGGTTACAATTCGTAATTTGGACGACAACATATTTCAATTTATCTTTGGATGTGAGGAGGATAAGGTGAAAATACTACAGGGGAAAACGTCGACTTTCGATGGGCAGTACCTCCTCTTGAAGGCCTGGGACACCAAGCAGACTGAGTTTGTGGAAGAAGAAGAAGTGGTTAAGCTGTGGGTACAAATATCTAACCTTCCCTTACACTGGCTATCAGCTGAGGTGGGGTTTAAAGTTGGGAGGCTTATTGGTAAAGTACACGATGTTTAAGTCCATGGTTCAGGGATCAATCAAGGCAGAATCATAAAAGTTCTTGTGGAGCAGAAGCTGAAAGACCCTCTCCTCAGAGGTGCTAAAATAATGTTGGGCAAAGAATCACATGGGTGGATTTCAGCTATGAGTACCTTCAAAGTTTCTGTTTTTACTGTGGAAGGATAGGAACTGCCAGACTAGGAAGGCAGATGCGAATAGAAATGTATTGCATCTAAGGCAGTTTGGAGATTGGATTAGGGCCCCTGTGAGTAGTACTAATGAGGGAAGAGGTAATAAAACTAGCTCCAATGATAGTCAACCTTCAGGGAGCAAGTTTACTAAAACCCAGAGTCAAACACCAGAGAGAGGAGAATAGGTTGAAAGGTAAATCAGTGGGATGTTCTAGCAAATTAGATGGGGGAGGGGAACAAAGGGCTGTAGCTTTGTCCACTACTAATAATGTAGAGGGGCAAAAGGATGCTGAGAAAACTGTGATAGTAGGTAGTTCTAATGTCTCTGAAAGTTTGCCACCCAAGTCAACACCTCACATTAC